GCCGGGCGGGCGCTGCCGGCATGCGCCGCGGCGTTCTCCAGCACCGCTAATCCCTTAATCTCTCAGATAATCAGTGCCAGAAACGCAAATTACACTGGGATTGCAGCGCACAGCTGCAGCGATGCCAACGCTTCGATGGTATCGCTGTGAATAATGATTCTTTTGTGACTTACTACCAAGTGGTGCCGGTTTATCGGGCGTAAAACAAAGAGGCTCTGGGTTAATCTTGTAGGTTAATGGGGGTGTTGTAGGGGCAGGGGGCTGGCGTGCCTGGAAGGGGGCGATGGGGAGAGGAGAGCGGTGCAAGGTTGGGCTGGGCTGGATCAGGCCCTGGGTCATGGTCAAACCAGGGTTTCGGCGTGCCCGGGGTCTCTGGCATCCCCACGGCAGGATCTGGTGAAACACGGTCCCACTGACGCCGGCTTCTCCCGCAGGTTTCACCGTGGGGATTACACAGTGGGGGTGCGCATCAACGACTACCTGGACATCTACTGCCCGCACTACGAGGAGCCGCTGCCCGAGCGGATGGAGCGCTACATCCTCTACATGGTCAACTACGAGGGGCACGCATCCTGCGACCACCGGCAGAGGGGCTTCAAGCGCTGGGAGTGCAACCGGCCCGACTCCCCCAGCGGGCCCCTCAAGTTTTCAGAGAAGTTCCAGCTCTTCACCCCCTTCTCGCTGGGCTTCGAGTTCAGACCTGGCCACGAGTACTACTACATCTGTGAGTAGGGGCCGCCGCGGGGACGGTGGGGAGGGGATGGGCGGGGGTCTGGCGAGAGCATCCCCGGGACGTCCCCCGCATCACCCCGCGGTGCAGACCGGACCCGGGCGCTGAGCCGTGGCTCGGTTTGCACTGGCGACCCAAAACGCTGCAAAGCCCCCAAACCCAGCCGTGCCCTTGTGCTGGCAGCGCCGGCATGTCCGGCTCAAGGCAGAGATCCCAGCCGGCACACGGTTGGTGCCGAAACCCTTTGCCGGGACTTAGTCACAGCCATGGGCATGGGGTGGCCACGAGAGTGACTAGGACTTACCAGGGACCGCTGGATGATGGGGACACCGGTCTCATCCCCGTGGGACTACCACCAGGCACCGGTAAAGGTGCTGCACCGGAGCGGTGGCGCAGCCCTGCCAGCCCCAGGCAGTGGCCCCCCACGCTCCCGCGCTCTCCGGCGCACTCCCATGTATTCCCACACGCTCCCGTGTATTCCCGTGCTCTCCCGGGGCAGCGCTCCCCTTTCTCACCCAACAGATGAAGCCCAAGCTGGCCGACCCGCTCCGGGGGAAACTTTTCTGCAGGCGCCCGGGCGCTGGTTGCAGGATCAGGACCCCCGGGGTGGAGCGGATCAGGCCCCTCGTTGAATTTCTGCCTCCGGAGCGGCCGGGCATGGGGGCCAGGGGAGAGGAGGGGGAGAGGAGCCAGACGGGCTTCCTCGGGAGCCCGCCGGAGCCATGGAAAAATAAGCTAATGGGGCACGGATCAGGTGCTGGGAGTGTGGCAATCAGTAAAGGGTAAAAAAAAAAAAAAAAGAGAAACCATGACCCCCAAGCACTCGACGGTGTCACAGGGAGACAGGGACGCCTCTCTTCTCGCGCCGGAGCCAGCCGGCATGCTTATCTTCCTTATTATTTCTCCCCCTTTTTCCTAAAGCATCTGTTTTCAGCCCACTTAATTTGTTCCTTTTATCTATATTAAATTACCATTTTTTCCCCCCTCTCCTTCTCCCCCTCTAAAAAGACCCACCTGCAAACCACATCACACCTACAACCCCCCCCCCCCCCCCCCCCGTTTTATTTTTTTTATTTTTTTATTTTTAATGTCGTTAGGGAGAGATTACACAGAAGTAAATGGTGAAGCCGATCATTGCTAAACCGGTTAGAATTCATGTCATGCGGAACATTAGAAATTATGCCTCTTTGAGGAACCGTATTTAGCAGACATGAAAGAAAAGAAATTACCTCCTCCTCGAGCTCGCAAATTGGAATGCCATTAACCTCGCAGGCACAGGGACGCGCTTGTGCTCCCCGTGCCGGGTCAAGGGCATGGGCTGGCCCTGGGGATGGAGCCGGTGGACGGAGCGGCTGCA